GAGCAGGGGCGTGTACAGGGAGTCGGACCCCCCCCCTTGCTCGCACAGAAAACGCATCTGAGGGGGTCTAGTTTTAAAAATTTTCTGGCCCTCCCCCAGACCCCCCCTTCGCGTGCTCGCAACTTTGGGTTACGGTTAGACCCCCCCCCCCCCTGGTTCAAATCCTGTACACGCCCCTGCCGAGCAAATTGCCAACATTGAAAAACGAACCCCCCCCTCCAATATAAAGCTGGCTACGGGCCTGCATATACATGCGGCACCATCCCGGAGGTGACGTTTCCTTAAATGTAAATTCTATGGTATCTATCCGACAGCAACGAACGATCTAGCAGTAATATAAATAAATCGTGTGTCGAAAGAGTTTATTTAACGCGCCGCGATGGTTGTACGCTGCCCCACGATCACGACCGTGGCCTGTGGGTGGGTAGGGGTGGAATGAGACAGCTGTCCCACTCCTAGGTTTTGGTGAAATATAAAACCATAATAAACGTAAATAATCCTAGGACAGCGTAAACCATCCGCGAATCCCCCGTCACAGCACGCACTGGGAGCTGCGCCCCTCTCTCATCATTACCGGAATCGCGAAATTTTGCAGCCTTACGAGATTGCTCAGTCAGCAGCCGTGCCTGTAGCCTTCCCCCTTCGCCGGTCGTGAATTTTTTTTCCCTACACGTTATATCCATTTGGCTCCTCTGATTGGCTGCTTTGATTTGACCACACCATAGATAGTGTTTGGGATACCATAGATAGTATATAAGCCGATTCGGTTTATAGTTAGTGTTAAGTTTCGGGTTTGGGGTTAGGATTTTTGCATCATTCCTTGATATACGGAAAGTCTGATGCGGAAGTTGATATGCGTATATCAAGCCCAATGGATATAACGTGTAGGGAAAAAAAATTCGCCCCCGGTCCGCGCACTACGTGCTGCAACGGTAGCTGTGTCTGTGTGAGTGTGTGTTACATAACTAACAACGTTCGGTATATTAAGAAGCTGACACGCTACAACTGTAACCGCCTCTGCCTCCTATTGTAGCTAGTTATATAGCACGCTACAACTGTAACAGCCTCTGCCTCCTATTTGGTAGCTAGTTATATAGCATGCTACAACTGTAGCAGCCTCTGACTGCTACCGGAAATATCACTTGCTATATCACTGACAATAATTTGCCTGTACAGTGCTAGGTGCAGAACGCCTATTGATTCTGGGACAGGATCTGAGCAAAACGGATCCAGAGCAAACCTAGTTTCGCTCCACTCACTCTACTCAAGGAATTTCAGACCGTCAGACAGTCAGCCCTACTACGGTATAGACTCTACTACTATACCGACGGCGCGTGAGGCGGTATCTATAGCACGAACCTATAGATGCAACAACACGAAACCCAGCTCTCGCATCTCGGGTTTTCGCGGCAAACGTTATCGAAACCATAAGAGTCTAGTAGCAGGGTTTTTGTGTTCCGCTCTTTGCCCGACACGCTGCTTCGATTGCGAAGAAAAAGCATCTTTCGCTTCTCGCAAGTAGCGCGGGACAGACAGACAGACACTCCTGTGGGACGTCATGCAGGCGCAACGTGGCCGGCATTTGTGTAAGCAAACGACAATCGTCACTCGAGATGGCTTGCCGCTGCGCGAGTGACCAAAGGTTAGATCACAGACTGTTTACACATGCACGCGCGCACGCATGCACGCACACACCCATACAGGTACACAAACGCACGCACGCACGCACGCACAGACACACATACGCCAACGCACGCGTACACGCACGCAAACAGACAGATGCACACATACGCCAACGCACGCATACACGCACGCAAACAGACAGATGCACGCACACACACACACGTACTCACGCACGTACGGACAGACAGATACGCACAAGCACACACGTACATAAACGGAGACGGATTCCTTCCCACTGATAGACACAATGACGAGTCAATCTGCGTGCGTACGTCTTGTACGTATCCTACAGGGATTCCGTACGCGCGCAGACACAGACACACATTGAATAATAACATGCCAGATCCTGCATGCGTACGCCACGGGCAGATGGGCGCAAACGGTAACGCAATCTGATGGCGCAGCTAGTCAGCAGCAGATTCCTATACCGAGTTACGTACGCTACGATAGTTTTTTGTTGAAACATCGGCTCAATTGATGGCGCAATGGCGCAATCAGCAGATTCGTGGCGAGTCACTACGGCAATTTGTCAATCAAATAACGATACGACGGTTTACTAGTCTTAAGTAAAACAGACTGGGTAGGGCTAGGGTGAGCATGGCATCAGGGATAGAATAGGAATGCCAACAAGAATAAGGTGAGCATGCCAACAGGGATAAGGTGAGCATGCCAACAGGGATAAGGTGAGCATGCCAACAGGGATAAGGTGAGCATGCCAACAGGGATAAGGTGAGCATGCCAACAGGGATAAGGTGAGCATGCCAACAGGGATAGAATAGGAATGCCAACAGGGATAAAGTGAGCATGCCAACAGGTATAAGGTGAGCATGCCAACAGGGATACGGTGGGCATGTCAACAGGGATACGGTGGGCATGCTAATAAAAATGGCGTTAGCATAGGGACATGGCTAGGGTGAGCATACCGACAAGGGTGCGCTTACCTTGGTGCCGTTCTCTGTAAACGTGGTCGTGCAGCCCGCGTAACAGGCCGAGTAGTACGTCACTCCATCGATGCCACATATCGGGCTGTACTGCTCCGACTGGCAGCCACAGTCTATGTTGCATGCCGCCGTTACGTTCGGTTCTGTCAACAACGAACTGAAACGGAGTGTTACTTGTAAATCCACTTGGTTAAGGTATTATGTCTTGTTTGTACCCATACTGTTACAGGGTTGAGTGTATGCGACCGATTGTGTCAACAATGAACCTAAACAAACGTTATTTGTTTGTTAGAATCTACCTAGTTAGCACGGTGATAAGTCTCGTTTGAGTACGGAGAGAGCATATTGGTATATATTGCATATCGATTTCCTCTCAGTTTCTATTGCTACGCTCGTTTCGCCCATATCGCCCATATCGTTAGACCCATTTATTGCAATATATTTAAACCATATATCACTTAGCTTAGAGCGTCATTAGCAACAGTAAATATTACCACAAGCATAAAAACCATACGCTTGGGGGGAAAGCGTTAACGGCCGAAGTACGCTTTTAAAAATACAAATAAGGATTCAAATCGTTGTTCTAAAAAGGCAACGCCTGATTCTGTCCACTCTTTGAGAAATCAAGGGGCCATGGAAGAGTGCACGGGCTTTCTGCCTGTGATATCGATCATTGTAAACAGAACGCACGTGCACATAGAAAGCGCACCTAGAATAAAAGCAAACATTTAGCAACTTTGCAAATGCAACCACAAGGGTGAAGGGCGATCATCTATCTAAAATCTAGCATATCAATCATTACCAATTCAGATAAGGGGCGTTGAAGCCACCTATATGTCCCTGAGGACACTGGACGAGGAAGGCGAGTGTTAGAGGCACTGCAGACATGCAGACGATGGCGCAGAACCGTACGATCTTTTCACAGTTCATCTGCAGTTTCTTGATTATGTAACCGCCGAGAAACGTTCCACCACCACCTGCTGGCACGACGATGAAACCTGCAATCACGTGAAGAGATAAGCGTACTGATAAAGGAATACGCGTCTGTGATCCATCTACACACACAATATGTTAGGGGTCCTCGAACAAATAAACAAAATCCGCACGTATAAAAAAGGGGTTTTCTTCGATTCCGCGATGGCAGTGAGATTGGACTGATTGATAATGGCAGGAGTAAGACAATAATTATGATAATAATGAGTTATTATTTTACCCCTGAAAATAAAAAAGAAGAAGAAGAGTATAAGAAGTTTCATAGGTATACACGCACGGTATATCCAGACACGGCACCACATTATCGTGACGTCGCCAAAACACTATTAATTTTGCGACAGCAGACAGCAATATCTACCAGATGCAACCTAGCATAGACAAAAAACCGCTGCACGCCGCTGCCTTTTTTCATGCGATTACGTTATCTCATAAAACCCTCGCTGATCCACTTCCTCGTAAGTGAACAATTATGTGCGTGAAACATCTGGTAGTGTTGGCCGTTAAGATCCCGTTACGCGCGCAATTAGTGGTTATCACGCGCACACACAGTAGCGAATTCCACCCATTACTCGTACCGAACCCAGAGCAAAATCACGATGAAGTCATCTTCTCCTGTCCTTCATTCTCGGCCACCGACACACATATTGACGTGCGTCGTTCGCCCCATTTCCGAGACACTGTATAGCGTACGTGTGTCCGATGCGATTCCAGTTTCATAAAAATAAGGTTAGAACAAGAGCTAATAATGTATGTTTCATGTATAATACGTGTAGTATTTGCTCTTGGTTAGATCTGGATGGGTATATTATCAAGAGCTAATAATACCAGATATGATATTATTATACACACGAAACATCGATCGGGACAGCTGCCAGGTCTAACAGCTGGTGAGATTTAAGCGTATGTATGTATGTTAGGGAGGAGGGGGGAGGGTTGGAGGTTTATCCCCGCTTTCTACACTTTATATATACTCACCCATGAGAATCGCTGCAAAGCTAGCGGTGAGTGCGAACTGGAATTGCACGTACTTGGGCATGAAGGTGGCAAAGCCTGCAACCAGCATACCTGCAAGAAGAACGACATTCGCTCAGCTATTGCGACTGAACGAATTATCCAAGTGAACATATAGCATAATGATGATATCAAGAGCGTATTAAGTATGTACTTTATACATAATACGCTCTTGATGATATTCATTTAGTGGTGTTAGCAGTTAACATCCAGATGATATTCGGAAAGGGCCTCATTTGCACATTCACTCATTTGCTATATTGATTTAAATGCACTTTCACAATTGGGTAAGATTTCATTTGAACATATAAATGTGCCAATGATTTTTTTATGATGTACCATAGACAAATCTATAACTATCATACTGCACAGAACACTATTAGCATCATGAAAAGAAATGCAGTATCCATGGGACGCAAAGACTGCAAAATGCATGATGCAACAGCAGGAAAATTAAGACGGAGAATATTCTAATCTTAAATGTCAAATATGTGTCTGACACCTATCTGACACATACGTGATAATCGATGCTTCAAATATGTTACGCGATAAATCATCAACATTGAAGAAGCATGATCGATTCAACATCGAAATGGAGACGATCACGAGAAAAGAACCTCGGAAGAGACACGATGATCGCAGCTCCTCCCAACGATCGCACGTACCTTCCGTCGCGCCTGCGAGGTTGAGGAACATGAACGTCGGATTACGCAGGAGGTTCGTGAAGGCAATCGGAATGTCCCGGAACGACGTTCCGAACCCGCTGCGCGTCACCTCGTCGTCGTCGCCCTTCTTGTGAACCTCGGAGATGCGCTCGGCCCGCGCGGCGGCGGCACCTGATGGCGAGCACGCGAAATGTGTGAGTTACGTACTCGAAAAATTATGGAAAACATTTGTGTGATGCTGCTTCATGCTGGGGCAATGTTAAATTAAGCTAACTTGTGTTGTAATCGAATTCAAATGCACACCTAACTGATTTAATTGTTCAGATAATGAAACATGCAATTATTAATTAGCAGTTATTACGGTTACTACGGTTACCACAGTCATACTATGAAGTTATAGTGATTATATATGACGAGTTTTTCATAAATGTTTACATTATTATTTTTTACAAATCATTTTCGTTGGTTTCATTTACAAAATCATGTATTATTACACAGAACTATAGTTAGCATCAAGAAACATTTGTAACAGCTGCTATAGTATGGGCATAGGAGTAGAAAGTATATATATAGAGTTTCGTATCAAAAGTTTGTCATACGTAGTTTCATAAACTAGCATGACATGAAAACCTATCGTGTACATACCGATTGCTAATGTTCAGCTTCAACAATGCAGTACTAGACGTTGCTTCAAAAAACTGCGACTAATTAACGCACGACGAACGCTAACGTACGACGAACACAACAACTAACGCGCCTTTAGATATGCCATAACACACACGTGCATACACAGACATCCACGGTTGAGCCGAACTGTCAAAAAATGGGCCCTCGTGTAATTTTGTCGTAAAATACCTGGTAGTTCTCGAGAGTAGCCGAGCATCGGAATCGCGGCGAGCCAGCAGATGAACGAGCAGATGAAGAAGCCAATCCACCAGGCACCGACCCAGGCCGAGCTCTGTGGCGTCAGCCCAAGGCTGTTGCAAAACGTACGCCAATACGCACAATCAACACACTTGTAATGCAACACACTTCACAACTGATGACTGTGTTGCAAAACGCACGCCAATACGCACAACATTACAACATGCTTCACAACTGATGACTGTGTTGCAAAACGTACGCCAATACGCACAACATCACACCGTGCTTCATAACTGATTACTGTGTCCACGAGCTTTTATGTTGAATAATTTGGTTTTTCCACAATGCGTAATTACCCGCTTACTGTCGGATTAGGAAGAGGAGAAAGGACTTACTCTGCCGGGTCGACGCTGGGTGCGTCAGTGTAGATGGCCAGCAGTAAACCACCAAGCATGTAACCCAGTGCTGGCCCCAGTAGTGCCATCGTATAGTAGATTCCTACAGAAAGACATATACACTAGTTTAACTACTCGTAAAGAATGAGCTGTATTTAACGGAGACGACGACAACGACGACGACGACGACGACGACGACGACAACAACAACTGAAGTTCAAATCATACATCAGAATTATGGTCATTTTGATGTTGTTACTCGTATACAAAATTTTTATGCATTTTACATAATCGGCCGCAGTTCCATTTTTGCATTAATTTAACCTATCGTAATACCTAGAAACACGAACAGAGCTAAATGTAGATACAACTAGAAACGAGCAGTTGTCGTCAACTACATGTATCCCCCGTGATCTAGTATGAATGGAATATCTGTGTAAGGGCGTAGAAGGCAGGTAAAGTTAAATAAGTGACAAAGACAAAGGTTTGTTAGACAACTGGTGTGCCTCAGATGTGCAAGTAT